GTCCGTGGACCAACATGACACCGCCAATAAGAGGTGGTATATATTGCAGAGCTGAGCCATGCTCAGACGTGGGGAGCTCTGCAGGCGAGTCGGATGGCGACGGAGACACAGATACCACAGATGACGACGGCGGTTCCGTCTCGGAACGGACATCCGTCACGTCGTTCACCTCGAGGGGAAGCAGTGTTGAGCAGGACTGCAAACTCGACTCCGCTGGAGAGCTCAGGCGACGGATTCCCGGTCCTTCCGCATCGGCCGTCGAGGATGAGTGTCCGTCATCCGACAGGTCGCTTGCCGGCCACAAGCCTCAGCCTCGACTGACGGCGGCCCAGTACACAGACTTCGCCGTCCAGCAAGGCGTTGACCTTGATGTGAGGACCTACCCATCTGTGGACCCTGCCACTCAGAACGACATAACGGCAAAGTACCGCCTCCTGCATCAACGGATCAAAGACGCCGGACTGTACCACTGCCCTTACCTGGACTACGGCAAGGAGATGGCCAGATACTCTACCCTCTTCGCCGTGTTCCTCGTGGCCCTTCACTACGAGTGGTACATCACCTCGGCCATGTTTCTCGGTCTCTTCTGGGTATGTCTTTCTCTGCACCTGCCGCCTCGTAGCTTCGCTAATCCATCCTCCACAGCATCAAATCATGTTCACCGCGCACGATGCGGGTCATGTGTCGATCACACACAACTTCACCATTGACTCTCTCATTGCCATCTTCATCGCAGACTTTTGCTGCGGCCTCTCGATGGGATGGTGGAAGAGCAGCCACAACGTCCACCACCTCATAACCAACATGCCCGTACGTGATCCTCCCTCTCCTGCTCTTTATCTGTTCACCTCTGACTAACCCTCCTCAGGAACACGATCCCGACATCCAGAACGTGCCGCTCTTTGCAACCTGCCCGTCCTTCTTCAAGTCCGTCAAGTCAACCTACTACGACAACTTCGTCTTCCCCTGGGACGCCGTCGCCGACATCATGGTGCCCCTACAGCACTACACCTACTACCCGGTCATGGGAATCGCCCGCTTCAACCTCTACCTGCTATCCTGGCTGCACGTCCTGTCCCCGAAATCGTCGGCCCTGTCCAAGAGCAAGGTATGGTGGATTCGTCCCACCGAGATCACCTTCATGGCGTGCTACTGGTTCCTCTTCGGCTACCTCCTCCTCTGGCGCTCCCTGCCTACCTGGACCATCCGGGTGGTCTTCGTCCTGGTGTCGCACATCATCACCATGCCCCTGCACGTGCAGATTACGTTGTCGCACTGGGGCATGTCGCACGCCGACCTCGGGGAGTCGGAGTCATTTCCCCAGCGCCAGTTGAGGACTACCATGGATGTTGATTGCCCGGCTTGGTTGGACTTCATCCACGGCGGCCTGCAGTTTCAGGCTGTTCACCACCTGTTCCCGAGGTTGCCGCGACACAATCTCCGCAAGGCGCAGGTGCACGTCAGGGAGTTCTGCAAAGAGACTGGCATCCCGTACGAGATCTTTGGGTTTGTGGAGGGCAACAAGAAGGTTCTGGGCCGGTTGGAGCAGATCGGACAGCAGGTTAGGGTCATGATGGAGTGCCAGAAGTACATGGCCGAGACGGGGGAGAGCGGTTTGCATTAGAAGGGTGACGGAAAGGTGCATTTAGACATTGGCGTTTTAGCGAGCATTTGGAATGAGAATACGGCATTCCTTAGGGACAAACATGTGGTACCACCCTGCATCCGCTTGCATCAGGCCTGTGAAGCTTTTGAGCACTGGGGTATAGTGGGCTTCACAGTTATTCACGTTCAGAATCGGAAAATCTACATCGAGCCTTATCATCGTACACCCATCTATCCAGCTTTCCCTTTCAGAGAAGAGTCGGCGATGTCCAAACATTCCGATACAAATGCATCATGAAAGTGCGTCATGGTGACTGGTGGTTTCGGGGCCTAAGCGCCAAGAGCTTCAATTCCAGCCTCCAGGTGATTAAGGCCCCGCGAAAGTCCAGGACGAGCTGCAACCCTTTGTTAAGAAAATACCAGGAGCTGTCCGCACGTCTTATATACCGTTTCCCGAAGATGCATGCCTTTTGGAGCAGTCCCTCAGTTGTGGTGCTGCTTGGAGTCGTGCAGCAGCTGGTGCTGCATTAGCTGTGGAGCGCCAAGTCCGACTCAACTTGACATTTTGGCCAGGACGGTTTATACACCGAGACTACTTGGCGGCGGTGGATTTTGCTCACCATGACTTTTACCCGTTCACCTCGGCCAGCGGCGGTGCCAAGACATGGTTGTCTTGGCAGTGGAGTAACACTTGGCTCATCAATGCCAAGTTGCCGTCTTTGCACGCACAGTCTGCTACAACAACGTCCAAACTCGATGCGGATTTATGACAAGCTGTAGTTCTTTCTAAACACCATTTTTGTGAAATTTCCTCGGTTTTCCTCTTATGTCATCATTCGTGGTGCTGGCGAGCGTGGTCGATCGCTTGCTGCCTGTCCAAATGTTGGATCTTCTTATGGTATTGACCAATAAGATTGCTGGTTGGTCTGAGCTCTCGGCCCCTCCTTCTTTTTGTTGGGTCGTCACCACATTCCACCACTGCTCCTCACAACGCTGCAACTTCGATGACAGGGTTCTTTGACAAGCCTGGCCGCGACTTTTCCGGCCCCTCGATCTCCACCTCGCTGGCGACTCCTCCGCCAGCACCAGAGAACCACCATCGAACGTTTACTTGATCGACATTGCGAGAGCTGTCTTGCCCCTCAAGTCCGGCCGCTCGTTGTCAGTTGCGCATTGAGCAGCGTCCTCGCCGACGACCCTGCGACCCAGAACAGTTTCGTCCTCCCTCGAGTTGCCGACCCTATTAAACACCAGCTTCTCCAGCGAGCAGCGGTCGCCTCGCAGACAATCCGCGTCGCCGAGATGCGTCCACTCCGTGTCTCTTCGGTCTCGTCCCAACTTGACGCTTCTTCCAGCAAGATCGCACCAGCTTCAGCTGTCGATGGAGTGCTCGGCGAAAGCCGTTTGCCAATCGCAAGATTAAGAGGAGGACTCCGGCCACTTGAAGGAATCGCATGGACTAGAAGTGCTCTCGCAGCAAAAAACACGAGTTGTCCTCAGGAGCTTGACTCAACGGAAAACGCCGACGTCTATCCACTACCAGAAGCCGAGAAGGCGGTTAGTCGGCGGACAATAATTACGGAAGGGATCGGGACGGGCACACGGACTAGCGACCGGCTACTTAGCTTGTCTAGGCACCTCTTCGCTCCCATAAGGTATGAACAAGGGCTGGGAGGAACATTCGGCCACGGGGGTTTAAGTGTCGCAGGAACCGTATGTACGGTGGTGCCTTACGACCTTCGGCCCTGAACCCCAACCCTTGATCCCAGTTACTACATTAATCGTTGGTGCACCAGCTAGACCAACACACCCCGGTCCCCCGCAGCACCACCACCACGACCTCGAGATAATGGGGAAGATCGCTCGGCTGGGTAAATTAGTTACCCCCTTTGCCCTGCCAGCGTCTCCGACCACGGCCGAGACGGTCGAACCCAAGACGAGCTGTAGCACACCGCTCCTTTAGCTAGACCAACGCGTCGGAGCGAACATTACACTGCGACGACAACAGATGGCTTTCCCGCGGTCAGCCTGTCTTCCCGACGGCATGCGGCGTTGCGATTGGGCTCTCCGCCGAAGCGACAGCCAGCTGTGGATGAAGTTGTCTTTTTCACATCCCCAGATTCCGGCTGAGTAGACCGGGGTCGTTCTGTTGCCAAGGTGCTTCGTGAGCTGAAACCAAGTGGTTTTGCTGCCAGGCCATGGTCAGAGGGGGCACTATATTGGATCTCAAGAATAGCTTAGAGCTGTTGGCTCTTGGTCTCGTCAATGTCCGGGTTGACTAGCAGTCTGTGTCCACTCGCATATTATCACCCTCGGTGTGTCTCCGTCCAGACATCGTAGGAGAGGCGCGACTACACCCGTCGGCCCCTGTTGTCCGAACAGCAACCTTCAGAACAACGCCGCGCTCGCACATCCGCTGTGCCTTCAGCAGGTGGCTTGGCCGACGACCGCGCGCAGGTCCTTCGATCGGCAGCTCTGTCTTCCCGGCGGCTTGACACCTCTTGTCTACATCGACTAGGCCGGCGGTCTTTAGTCCCAAGCGGCTTGCAACTCCTGGACAGCGTGAATGTTATTGTCTCAATCGGCGCCTCCGTGATGTCACTGCTGCGCCTGCATACTGAAGTCGCTTTGTTGACTTTACCGAGATTACCGCCAGTCTGAGCAACAAGAGCCCGTTGGTAGGAAGGAAAGGTTAGGTCGCCTCTCGAGAGGCATTAGACGCGACCCAATCATGCCAAGCTCTTGTCTCGGCGTGCTTGAAGCCCTTCTGTTCTGCCAGTACAGACCAGCAGAGACTGTCTACCATGGTCCCTCTGAGATGTACTAGACCTATCCATGACAACGACCGGGCCTGGCGGTCAAGATGTGTATTCTGCAAAGACCTGATGATAGTGGCAGCGAGCATAGGACTCGAGGGGGGGTGCACGCATCTCAGTGCAAGGCCAGTAGCTCTGTAGTCCATAGCCTCACAGCAACTCGCGGTTTTGGCTGGCAAGCCTGACTTGATGCCCAGGCCTAGTAGAGAAACGCTCCGCAATGCTGTGACGGTGACGCGTGTGCGAGAGGCAAGTTGTAGAGTGTTGATGGGCGAGGGACTCATGTTCAACATGCTGAACTGGCTTTGCTCAACCAACACCGCCACACCGAGCACATATGTCAAATGCGCCCATCTTCTCAGAGGGAGAGATGCCTAGCGGTAGGCGGCATCTCGGAACTGGCTTGTCTTCTTTCCAACTATCATAATTGCTGCAGGAGAACGCGGCCTCGATCGTCCCTTCCCAATTCCATTTCAACATATTCACCTTTTCCCAATTCGGCTGCCAGACCTCCATTCACATCTCACAAAGGTACCTAACTTCAAGGCATCTACTAGCAACTGTTAGTATCAAACAAACGGCCCCGTGGCGTAATAGTAGCGCGTCCGATTCCAGAGTTGAACTTGGAACTTCCGGAAGGTTACCCGTGGAAGTCGGGTCGGGGTCACTCCTTTTTTTACTGTTTTTAACTTTTTCGCGTCTCGTCATTTTGCGTTGTCTCTAAGTGCTTTGAGCATCTTCTGTGAGCAGCGGCCTTCCTTGTTGGGTTTTATCTCAAACTCACGATGAGTTGGTCTTTCCCACTTCGCTAGAGCTCACATGCGGCGAAGGAGGAGAATGCCTACGCCTAAGACATACGGAGCCTCGACACGCGAATTCCCGTTGAAATATAGTTGACGTGACTCAAATGATACATTTCTTTCTCACTTTGGCCCTTTGGTGGCCTGCTGAATTTCCTCACCTTGTTGTGGCCAAGAAGAGCCGGCAGCTAACGGCCTCGAGATATTAGACATCGGTCACGATCAAACTATGGAAGGGAAGTACCATGGCATCATGTGCCGCCTTGGGGGTATCTTGATGCCGGCCATAAGGTAGTGGAACATGAAACCAGGTATGACATGAAGCCCAGCCAATCTTCGTTGGAGGCTTAGACAGAACTGCATCTGAATCTGGGATGATAACGCCGGTGTAGATAGAATCGAACACATCATGGCAATGCACAGTCATGGATAGCATATGAGCAATGAAGCTAGGCTATAGCCCCCTTACATGCCTTACCCTTCTCTGTTCTAGCCTTGCGACTCAACTCGTGTCCAGTGAGCTACCTTATATGGAGTTCTGTCCCATCTGCTGGAAGGGCTTACCATTGAATGTAATGCATCACTCGACCCTCGCCACCGCTAGCCATACCGGAGCACCGGCAGAATGACTTCGCGGTTATGTGGCTCCATTCCAATGCAAATAACCTGGAGTCGATACAGTGCTCGGCCACTTTCCCGGCCATACACACTGTAGCTCATTCCATGGGACATGGTTCCCGCTTTGGGACAGATATTTCCCGTGGGCAAGGGATGCTTCAGGTTACTTTGTATGTGAACGGTAATGGGATCCGTTTGGAGAATGCTGCACGGCAATGTTTGGAGAGCGGATTGTGTTATTACACGTTAATGTAGACGGCTTCACCAGCCCCTGCCACGTGACCCGTCGCCGCTTTTGCACACCCTCGGCACAGGCGCCGCACAGGGCGGCACAGGGCGGCACAGGGTTGGCACACCCCCTAGCACAGCTTCGCTTCGGGTGACTGCGAATTACTTCAACTCCAGCCGAGGGAGCAGAAAATGGATACCCTAATTACCAGGGGGCTCAAAACGCATCCGGGATCCCAAACGAAGCCACAAGGCATCCTCATGCGACTCACGACTCTTCGCCTTTCCCCTGGCATTATTTCTCTTGAGCTCTACAAATGGCTCCCTCTCCCACCTGGCCGTTGAGCCTTCCCACGCCATTACTGGCACCACGAGCGAGCCTGACCTTCAATCCACCCTTTCCCATTCTTGGCCTCTTCTTTTCCACCCAGTGGCGCCCGAAATGGCGGACCCAACAGAGGAGTCCCCTCAGTTAGAGCCCTACGCAGTACGAGTCCTCGACAGAGCCATCGCCAATGGACTCTCAGATCGATCAAAAATTGATCCTCACGCCGTCCGCAGGCACCTAAAACCGCGGAGCGAGGACGCATACTTTCGCGTAATGAGGGTCTGGCATGAGTAAGTCTGTCCGGGGCCGAGCGTCTGCGAGTGGCAACTAACATATCTTAGGTACCGAAAACGCTTTCCCGGGAGCGATCCACGCGACATGCAGACCATGAAGCACTTCGCTGAAGTCGTTGGGCGAGGCGTACAGGCGAGGCTCACCACTGATGCCACCACTTGGAGTGTCCGATCAATCATGCGTCGATTCTACAACCAGTGGGAACGAGAAAATCACACCACAATCCCAGAAGAGGTGAAGGTGTCGATGGCACCGGTAAGTAGCCACCCACCATGTCCAGCAATGTCAGCTAACAATCGGAAGTACATCGAAGGGTACCTGGCCGACACGATTCCTCTATCCAAAATGAGAAAGGATCCCACCTACATGACTATACCGATCTACGTCAACATGTTCAACCTTCTTTGGGCCGAGGATGGCTTTGATTACAAGAATGAAGGAAGCCGGGTAGATGCGGCCACCATGCTAAACACCCACTCCTACACCTCCGCGAGGTTACAGGAGGTGTGCGGAGCGTTGTACGACGTACGTTAGCAACACAGGCGGGGGGACGGGTTCTTGCTAATCCACAACAGGATATTATATGCTTGGTGGGATGGAAAGATGGCCAACCCGACATCAAAATGGACTTCAAGAGGAATATTTGCAAGGGGTTGGACTACAAACAGTAAGTCATCCTCGGTAGAGTCCTCCCTACAAGAAGGCTTACTCGCTGTCTAGGCCGGAGCACCCATTTGCCGAGAGGTTCGAGGACGGCCTGGTACCTCCTTTGCTTTCACAACCAATGCTGTGGTGGATCGTTAATTTTCTCTCCGCCGGCGCCTTTCGGGAGTATAAGACTATCGAAGAACTCTTCAGTGTCCAGCCCCCAGAGGGAGAGACATTCTGGATGTTGGAGTGGAGCGACGAGGTTCTGGACAAACCAGTCTTCCCGGCATGGTCCGTGGATGGCCCAACGGACAAGGCCAAGAATCACAACGCCTGGGGGAATGATGTCTCTAAGTGGGCAAAGCGCGCTTTCTACATCCTTGGGCTGGTCATCCACGCCATCCGTCGTGAAATTCTTATCAAGGTCAACGGTAAAGAGTCATCCGTCTTCCTTAGCAAGAATGAAGGCTAACAGACCGGCATTAGACAGTGGTGTATCCATCGGGCAGGTGCTGAAGTTCGCCGCGCAGAGGAACCCTAAGGTGCTTGGTAATCACTACCTAAGCGACCTAACCACGGTGGACGGCACGTCATGCTTCCTCGGAATGAAACTCCGGACCGACCTCACCGAGGATTTCCGCACGGCAAAAATGAAAAGAAACCCGGACATCGGGCAGTCGCTCCCATCCAACATGCGGGAGGAACTGCAGCAACGAGATGAATACGTCGCCATCACGGGAGAAATTGAGAAGCTCACGGATAAAATCAAGACAGCGACCGACGACAAAGACCTCACCAAGTTGAAGGACGAGCGGACCGCTGCGTACAGGCGACGGGCCAAACTCGGGAAAGAGGAGCTGACAAATTATCGTTCAAACGCGAAACGAGTACATCCAAACCAGCGCAAACACCAGCACAAAGGCGAGGGATATCGGGGCGACGGACGTGGAACCCATTTTGATCGCATCCGCCACATGATGCCTGAGCGCGACCGCCTTGCGACCTCGCTTTTCCAGGAGGTGCCGTTACGGAGTCCCGAAGGGATCGCCGTTATAAAGGATCTCATCGCTCTCCGCACCCAGAATTCCCGTGTCGCATACCAGGAGATACTGCGGCCTGTCTATCACGGCAAGATAGCTCGCTGTAAGACTTGCAGCACCGAGATGGAAAGGTAAAGCGCTGGTGTCTCCCCCAAGCGACTACTTCTCTAGCTAACACCGGCCTTCTCACAGTATCCGCGTTGCCCACAGGTGGAACCACGTGTTCCGCTGTCAGAAACGTGCCTTGGAGACCAAACATGGCCACGCCGAGTTCTGTTATCTTCAGACCTGCAGCAAGTGGATTATCGGAGAGGCGGAGTGGCAACACCACTGTCAGAACCACATCAACAGCGGACACTTACCTTTCCGATGTGATCCGATCAAGTTCCGCTACGCTGTGGCATGCGCTGGATACTGTCCCTTCCATGTTGGCGATAAAGGGGCATCCCCCGAGGAGAGGATGCAGTCATTTCCCGATCGATCAGCATGGCAGCGACACATCTCCTGCTGCAGTTCTCGGTACTTCGAAAGACGGAAGCCTGGGAGTGATATTCCGTGTCCTTTATCTTGTCAGGAGAAATTTCCGTCACAGAGGGACCTTTGGCACCATCTTGAAGACGTACACAACACTCCGGAGCCTCCAGCTGGCAAAAAGCGCAAGTCCTGTGCGGCAGAAATACGAGATGAGGACCAAGTCCAGCTACATCCTATCAAGAGGAGACGGGGACCAAGCCTCCCGGATGAGCGAAACGAGTCTGGCAGCACCAAGTTCGTCCATATCTCAGCATTAGACCTTGATGCAACACCCTCGCACCCGGATAACCCAGGAGTACACATGGAGTCCTCGGGCCACAGCACACCTATATCTTGGCTGTTTGACCCGAATTCAGAAATCTCGAGTGGAATCGAGTCGTCAGTATCGGCCTCCCCACCGCGGGCCGACAATAGTGCGCATGCATCCGAAAGCTGCTCTGGCAACAGCACGCCCTTGTCCGAAATGTTTGACTTCGATATGGCGTCTTCGACCATGGCTTCATCATGCTTATCTCCGCGTAGCAGCGACGGGTCTACCTTCTGCGCCTCTCGCAACCAGTTCCCAAGAGAATCAAGTCTTCTGCATTTTGCGATTGATCCGGCACTTCAGAGTCAATCGTCGGCGCTTGGGCTCACGACAAACACAGACACGGAGTTTCTGGAGGACAAATCAGCTCCCGCGCCAAATATGGAATCCGTAGGTGCTGATCCGCACGACCCGATTAGCTTTCTGTCGGGGAGCACTGGACTGCCCTCTAAAGACAACCAGGACACAGTAGTCGCACCTAGGAAATTAACGCGAATTGTCATCAAGGCGCCCGGGACTCGGACGCCGGGCGCTAAGTATTGTCCGGATGAAGACGGAAAAGCAACGCACGACAGTTCCGGAGAAGGCGATGTGTACAAGGTTGACTGTTTGCTCGATAAATGGAGCAATTGGTTCTTCGTCAGATGGTTTGATGGAAGCTGTACTTGGGAGCCCAGAGAAAACATTCGGGACAACGAGCTTATCAGGAAGCTGAACAAGGAACACGGCGGCCTCAAATGGGGGGTCGAGGTGCGACAGGCACGTCGAGAGTCCAGGGGAATACGCTACCTGGTGCGTTGGAAAGGTGGCAAGTGGAAGGACCAGTGGATACACGAGAGATACATGTGCCGGGAACTGATTGAGAAGCAT